CCTCCTCTCCCCCCTCACTTGGCTCAAGCATGATTATGATTGTGGACCATCTTATATAAAATTTTGTCAATTAAGAAAAAAATATCAACATTTTTCCTTTGCGCTTCGGGCATCATTACTAATAAAATTTCTATTTATTTTCTCGTTTTCGACTTAAAAAAAGTCAGTCTTTTTTAATTTATCGTTTCAAAAAACCCTATATAAGTCAGTCTTTTTAATTTATCGTTTCAAAAAAACCCTATATATGTGTGAGTATTACATGCGTCATTTTAAAGGTTACACAAAACCTGACAACCTAATTGAAGAATAACAAGAAATATAATAAGGATTATATCGGACTATTAGGACTTTTGCAGACTATAAGAGGAAAACAGGGGCCCTTATACTGTCAAACAAGGACAGAGGGACTTCGATCAGAAAAACTATTAGTTTTATGATTTATGGACATACAAAATATAGTCAAGTACTGCCAGGAACTACAATTACTACTTAGGACTGCACAGTGCACAGACCTACAATTAAGGGACTATATATAGTGACTATATATAGTGACTATATATAGTGACTATATACTAGTGGATGAATTACAAAAAATTGCTGTAGACTGTAAGAAGGGACTTCATATACAGTAAATATGACTAAGCCAGCAACTAACAGACACTAAGAAATACATGAAAAGATTCTGAGAGAACAGAAATTTTTAGGCGCTTCGCGCACATGTTTAATTAATTTACTCATGTCGTCCATTTTAAAGCTGCTGGGTGTATATTATTTTTAAACACAAAAACATGCCATGAATATCATGAGAATTTCGTTTTTTTGAGCACATAGCCAAATCTTCAACAAATAAAAAAGCTGTATTTTACTTTAAATCTTGTAAACAGCGCTTTCTTTCTGAAAACATTATAATTTCGTGCATTGTAAGCTAATCTCGTTAAAAATTCATTTTTATTTTGTTATTGGAAAGATGACGAATTGTCAGCTTTCTCAAAAACTGTCCTAACAATTTAACAAGAATTTCCCTTTAACCGAATATTTTATAAAATCTGACAAAAATGTCCCGAGGTCAACATTTTTTTTTCAATTTTCTCCCTGTTATTCTTGTTAACTAAAAATGAGTTTGAATATCATCTACAGTTTATACGGTCGGGAGAAAATATTTTGCAAAAGTACTAAAAAATTTTTTTTAAAGTTTAATTATTTAACTCATTAAGAATTAAATTAAATCAAGTCTTTTGCCTTGAATTTTATAAATTCTGTACAGTCGTCTCTGAAATCCTCTGAGGGTAGGTGTTCGTAACCCTGTACCTCTTTTTAAACGTGGTTTTGTTTCAATGTTGCATCCTAAACTTAATCTTTATATTCTGCAAAAATATAATTTGTTTTATTTACTTTACCTCCCACCTCGTAGGCTGAAAGGCAAAGCAGAAATATATGCATGAGTTTCATTTATTTCTTATTTCGAATGTTAATTCATAAACTCTATTTAATAAAAAGCTCCCTTTACCACCTTTCAGCTTTCACCTGACTTAATTTATCCCCTGAAGGTTTCCCATTATAAATTGAGACTTTTAAAACAGCTTATAAAATAGCAAATCCACCCATATGAAAAAATCCGCGATGATCAGCTTCCTGTGCCCTGGGAATTTAGTTATATTGTTTTGAAGAATATTCATCATTAGCTTTTCATATTCATCTTCTAATTCATTTGTTAACATTTTCTCTTTGTATACATTGTAAAACAAAAACAAAAATTTCGCGGATTTTATTAAAAATTTTGTGGATTTTCAAAATTATCCAAAATCGAATTTTGTTAGAAGCAAATTTTTGAAAATTCAATAATACATAGACACCTGCCCTGGGGTCATGTTAGGTCCCACAAAAATTTAGGCCCGATCGGTTCAATCGTTTTTACGTTTATTGGATACAAACAAACTAACAGACAAGCAAAGTATATATTCAATTTTCATTATAGAGAAGAATAAGGACAGGAAAGAGGAGTGGATGAAAATGCTTTTTGGTAGGTTCTACATCAAAAACTACCATACCAATTATAATTAATATTTTCCCCTGAAAAATTAAGGGCCTTATACCAGAAAATAATATTTTTATACACGCACAGAGACTGCTTTTTGGTCCTGGGAGCTAGTGTTTCTCATGAAATTTGTCCTCAGCCAAAATCCAATCACCCAGCGTAAATTTTAAACTGATGAGTGAGATTCTCTATATTATAGTGGACACCATGATATATACACTAATTACATTAACTATTAACATATATTCTGTAAAAAATCATTGTTATATATTATATATATTTATAAAAATGTATACATGTTAATTTCACTATATTAAAGAGAAATGTCTTATCTTTATAAAATTTAATTCTTAATAATCTTGA